TTGCTGAGAAGTCATTGGATTTTTTTCTTTTCACTTAGACATTTACCCAAAAAAATTAAGGAAATAATGAGCATGACTACACACTACAAACCATTTCTCTGCTAAAACATAGTGGCACATATGTGATTGGAATAGGTCCTTTCCTTCAGTGCAACTGTCAGAGGTGGGTTATTTAGTTCTTTGCCTTCAGCAGCCTTCCCAAACCCTGACCTCCACTGTGGGAAAAGGATTACTGAAGATGATCAGAGAGATGGAGCACCTCTCCTATGAGGAAAGGCTAAGGGAGTTGGGGTTGCTGAGCCTGGAGAAAACTCCAGGGAGACTTTATTGCAGCCTTCCAGTACTTAAAGAGTGCCTGCAAGAAAGATCAGGACAAACCTTTTAGCAGAGTCTGTAGAAATAGGACAAAGGGCAATGCTTTTAAACTGAAAGAGGGTAGATTTAAACTAGATACAAGGAAAAAACTTTTTTATTATGAGAGTGGTGAGACACTGGCACAGATTGCCCAGAGAGGTGGTGGATGGCCCATCCCTGGAAACAGCCACAGTCAGGTTGGATGGGGCTTTGAGCGACCTGTTCTAGTTGAAGATCACTCCTTGCTCATCTTTAAAGATGCTTTCCAACTTAAACCATTCACTGATTGTATTATTCACTTTATAAATTACCCTGAGACATGAGAAGGGTGGGATTTGCCCAAGGCTATACTACAGACCAGCATAGGTCTGTGGTTTCAGTAGAGCAAGAAGGTCTTGCAACAAAAATCATAGCAATTGCTTTATCCAGGGCAGTTTTCCCTCAAGGGAAAACTGGGAAAGGCACCAGTAGCATCTGGTAGTTGAGCTCATCCACGTGGTCTTTAGGGCAATTCAGCCCAACCTGAAATAGAAATCTAAAGGTAGGGTGTCTGAATTGGAGGTCATTAAATCTCAGAAACAGTCTAGTTTTGACTAGACTAGCTTAAACTAACAACAAGGCTGCCAAAAGTGGGGAAATTAATTCCATCTACAGTCTGTGTAGCAAAGCCAAAGAAATATTTACACATCATTGCCTTTCCTAGATGCTGTTATCCTGAATCTAGTTTTCCAGCTGAGGCAAATCCAGATGATGTAAATCATTATGACTCTATTGACATAAGCTAGCCAAAAGAATGGCCAAAAGTTTCTGTGCTAATTCCTGTTGTTTTTTTAGGTTGGCATCGTTTTTAGGAATTTTGTTGAAGTGTTGCTTAAATTAAAATTTGAAAGAGAAATGGCTCATTGCTGTTAAAAAAAAAAAAAATCACTGATCTAAAAGGTGTTATAACCATTTATAGGCAGAAGTGAATGTTTTGAGAACATTTGAAAATGCCAGCTCCTTCCAGCCCTAAAGATCTCAATGATTGCAGCATTACTACTTAAACACAAATAGCTGGACTTTGTAGAGCAACCACTCCAAATAAAAGCATGTTCTCTGTATCAAAGAGAACTCTGTCAATGAATATATTAACCAAAGGCCAAGTTTCTTAGCTTGAAGATTGAAGCTGATAGCAAAAATTTCATCTGTTAAATGGAGGAAGCAAAATAAGAGGAGGGGCAGGCACTGAACTCTACTCTGTGACGCCCAGTGACAGTACCTGAGGGAATGGCCTGAAGTTGTGTCAGGGGAGGTTTAGGTTGGATATTAGAGAAAGGTTTTTCACCCAGAGGGTGACTGGACACTGGAACATCTCCCCAGGGCCGTGGTCACAGCACTGAGCCTGACAGAGTTCAAGAAGGGTTTGGACAATGCTGTCGGGCACAGGGTGTGACTCTCAGGGTGTCCTGTGCAGGGCCGGGAGTTGGACTTGATAATCCTTGTGGGTCCCTTCCAACTCAGCATATTCTGTGAATGCTCTGGTGTGGAAGCTGAAGGAAGTTGTGATTTTGTGATTTTTTTATATTTTTTTTTTTTTTTTTTTTTTTTTTTTTTTTTTTTCATTTATTTTGTGTCAGAGGAACCTGGTAAAACCCAATTTATAAATTATGTAGGGAGCCAATCTATTTTTTGTCTTCTGGACAACTAAAAGACATAAATATAGAAAGTATTCTGACAGTGAATTATTCTTCCTTTGCCATTACTCTGAGCATTTGTGGAGCCCGAGAGTTTTGCTGACACAGGAGAGTTATACAGGTTCCCCCAAAGTAGTGCAGTCATTTGCTGTTACCACAAGGCATGTGATTTTTCTTCTTTCCCTTCAGTTTAATATATGTTGCTTTTTTTTTTAGTTGAAAGCAACTAGAAAATGGCAAAGGACAGGAGAAGCATAGTCCTTGTCTCTAGATGGATTTCATCTGGGAGCACACAAAGTAAAAACTTTCAGCTGGTATCAGCCTTCACACTTGTCTTGTAGGACCTTTTAACTTTTGTTTCATCTTCCTTTAGATTTCTGGGGGACAAGGCATGCCATTGCTTCATCTGTTGGTTTTTATACAGCATTTTGTTAGAAATTTTCACCTCTGTTAATATTTTGGGCCTTTTATAGCCCCTTTAAGGTAACATTTTAGCTTCTCAGTGTCTTCACCTTTATTTCATATATACAGGCCTCAACCAATTAGTGTGGTGTCTCTCAGGAAGCCTCATGCAGAGGTTGCTTGATCCCTCCAAGCACCCTAAAGAAAAGGAGTTCATTTCTATTCACCCCCTGTTCAATCAGATGGTGGAAACCACACTACGTGTTCCATTTCTTTCTTCTCAAAGAAATATTAAGCAGAGCATTGTCCCACTGCATCTGTGAGGCAGATCCCTGCTAAGCAGAAGAAACACCACAACACAGCATTCATTCCTGAGGTGCTTTAGGGCTTCACCCAGTATTGTACTGTATGTGCCAAGTCTTTATTCAGGCAAACTAGATAATCTGCATTGCAGCTTCAAGTGGGAGAAGCACTGAGGCACCTGCTCTTTATTTGCCTTTGCTCTTTATTTTGATACCAAAAAAAAAAAAAAAAGAAAAAAAGAGATGTTGACCCCAGATACTGACCATCCCTGGAACATGTGTTTGAGCAGCCAGGAATAAGAGCCCCCATAATTCACTGTGGGCTGCACAAGAGGGAAGATTTTAAGCAGATTTTTTTTTTTTCCTTCTCCAACAGATGTGTTGACTATACGTACGCATATGGCTCTTGTTCACAGGAGCTATTTGTCCCCAGCTTTAATGTAATTTACAGGCAGTTTCCAAGTCCCCATTTCTCTCATTTCTTAACTATATATGTTTCCTCAAGAGAAAATGGTAATAATCCTCTAAAGCAGAAAATTGATGGAATTTAGTTCAGTCAAAACTAATCAGATTCTTCAGATTTGAGTTTTATATACTTCATTTAAATCTTTTGCTAATGAGCATTGACAGAAACACAAACCAGTGTTGGTTACAGGAAATTCACTTTGGTTTTTTCTCTTTTCTCTGTTGGTGCCCACATTATCTGAAAAAAGTGGGGTTTTTTACTTGTCTTTTTAATTACTTTTTTAAATCAAAGACATTATTGGATTCTTATTGCTTTGTGGGGACAGATTGGATAATCAAAGCTGCTTCTGTTTGGAACATACAAAATTATTTGCGTTAACATCACAGATGTTAAGAGACAAGGACTGCATAACAGAGTCTGGAAATCTCTCTTCCCCCACAGCAAGAATGTACTTTGAGACCCCAAGAGTGTGAAAACTTGTCTTTGGTGGGTCTTAATGTTGCAAAGGCAGGTTATTTGTAGGTTAGAGCTTCAAGGTTTACCCACAGAGTGAAAAAGTTACCTCCTACTTTCTCTACTGGATCCTGTCAGCTCTAGAGACTTCACTTTCTTGAGGGTTCACTGAGTAATCTGATGTGTTTGACAGTCCAAAAAAGCATCACATAAAAGTGGTCTTAACTATTTCATAGCTAGGTAATGAATAGGAGAAAAAAAAAGTCTGGTTGTAGATATGATGTGCCTCCAGTACATCATCAACAAAATTGACTTTAAATGTTCACTTTTCCTAAGATAATGCAACGTTATAAGAGAAAAAGAAAGGAAGTCTTTATGACTGATACATGAAAGTAGGGCTCGGGAGACAAGCTAAAAACTTAATTGCTACTGCAGCTTTTATGAATGTGATTCATCTGGTAAGCCTTTACCTACCTGTGAGTTAAGTGTTTAATCTGCACTGGTTATTCAAGGCACTTCTGTGAGACAGACAGGTATTTCTAGTTCACCCAGCCTATCCCAAATGATGACTTTTTACTACTTTCTATGACAAGTGAGTCTCTTTCTCTCCCTAAACACATAATTTAGGTGGATTCATCTCACCACCTTCATCATTCCCATGACATTGTAGAATCAAGGACATTTTTTCCATCTTTTCCCCTCTGGCAGAGCTTTTGGGGATACAACCAGTATCACAGTTGTGCATATACATGACTATCTATGTACAAAGACCAGGATAAAAGCCTGCAATAAAATGAATGGTAGTTATATTTTGCATTTGCCTGGTCATTCTTATTATTCTAATATTCTTTAAATGAAGTTTATTCAGTGTCCTAGAGCATAGTTTCTTCAGAATAATTAAACTTACTCTTAGAACATTTGGAGCCCAGAATAGTAATCTGTTGTATGACAAAATTACTGAGTAATTCTTGTTTGTGTAATGATGAACTTTGAGGTGTGTGTCAAATTCTCAAAAGCCTGGTTAGGTGATCAACCTGGGTTGCTAGCTTGATTGACAAACTTTTGAGAAAGTGTCTGATCCCAGACATACTGGTTTGGTATTTTATTTGCAAATGATAGCACTGAATTTTGTGATCTAGTATTTGCAGTTGTAGACTCAACAATACGTCCCATGACCAATGACACTGTTAATGTCTTGAACAAGATTGGTTTGTTGATCTAATTTTCTTTTTTCCTACTCCTTGCAAGTAGCCCTGTTGTGCTCCTGGGTGTGATTGTAAGCTGCTTTGTGACCAAATAAAATAAACAAACTTAATTGCCTTAATTTTGCTTTGCTTTTTTTCCTTTCAGTGGCTGCATCAACTGCTAATTCCACAGCTGGTGCGGCCATGAATTCTTTGACTTCTCTGGGTACTCTCCAAGGACTGGCTGGAGCCACTGTTGGACTGAATAATATTAATGCACTAGCAGGTACCGTAAACAGTGAGTATTTATTGCTGTGGTGGACAGCCTTCCCCAATAATCATGCCACAAAAACTATCAATTGCAAAGTGATAATATGATTTTTAATCTCTACACCAAATAAGGGGGTCAAGTTGATTTAGTTCCATACTACTACTACATATGTAGCTCTCTGGAGTCTTTTAGTTTCACACAGTTTGTTCTGCAAAGTGAATTTACTTATGTCCCTGCATAAAGACTCCTCTTCTTGCAGTACATATGGAAGGTAAAAGAATTGTCACCTGGGATTTGGGTTGTCAAGGTTGTAGGAGAGGCTCCTTTTTCATTGAGGGAGTCTGACAACAGGTGTATCAGCCCAGTGTACAAAACCTCACTCAGAAATGTAGTGCCACAGAGGCAGTCCTTTAAAACTTCTGTAAGAAATATCTAATTGACATGAGAGCAACATGCTTTAAAAATGAAAGTAAGTCTTTTTAATTGGCAAATATAGGAGGACATGCAGTCAGTCACCTGTAATGCCAGAGCACACACACCTATCCTATGACATCTTAACAAATCCTGGCATCTCCAGCTAAAGTAGATGCCAATAGTTGTTAGAACATTCTCCTTTGTCCTTAGCCTTGGTCAAGATTTTCTTGAAAAAGGAGGATTTCTTAAAATTATTGTTTCTGCTAGGATGACTTCACCTTTGCCTGTAACAGAAGAGATTTGCCCAGATGCATTTTTCCCCCTCCCTCTTTTTATTCTTTAGCTGAAGTTGCTCCTTGCATTTCCTTTTGCAATGCAAGGAATCTATTTGGTCATTGCCAGTCCATGACCCATCATAATGTACCCTCAGGAATGGATGTCCTCCTCAGTATCTCTTGCTCACTCTGATGCTCTGCATGATGTCCTTTCTGTCACTGTTACTTGGCTGCTCACCAATCTTTTTGTTCTGTGATCTCTGGTTGGCATTGTTGGGAGCTGGGAAGGAAGGGGGCTTATGGATGTCCATGTAGTAATGTTGAATGGTTGCATGGGGTCTCGTGTAAAACAGGACTTGCTTCTGGCAAGGACATGTGCATTTCACAAAAAACAACCTCTTTGTAAATACAACTCAAGGACAACTTAAGAAAAATTAGTATTAGGTCCCAAAATGACAGATGTTCATTTCCTTTCTTCTTATTCCATCAGTGTCAAAGCAAACCACATGGCATGCATAGAAGTCTAACTTACTTCCTCTCTTCTCATGAGCTGTTGTAGTAAGAAAGCTACCCTTTCATGAGTAAGAAACTCTTAAATGTCCTTTCTGATTAATAGTCATTGTGCTTCATTTGGTGTATAAAAAAATTACCATATCAGGAGCAAACTATGACATCCCACTCCTTCCCCTCAGCAAGCTCCAGGCACACTGGAGCACTCCAACATAATGTACCTCTTCATCAAAACCAAGAAGGAGTGAACCCTGTGAGCTCATTGTGTGGAAACCCTTCTGTTGCACTCCTTTTAGCACTCCTTGCTAGGCTGCAAGCAAAGAGTTTACATTTTCTAAGCAAGTATTTTGAGGTGATGTGTGTGCAAACTTACCTGCATGTGTCATTTGAAGTATTAATGATGTAGTCTCAACCTGGTACCAAATTTCAGTTTGTTTTAAGTCACCATTGCTTCCGTGGACTTGTACTGTCAGTGACTGCAGTCCTAAATATTCTTCATGCTTGTTTCTATGGATATATGTATAGTGCTTACAAAATGTATGTGAGTATGTCTGTCTATGTATATAGATACTTGAGAGAGAGCTAAAGAGGGGAAACTACTTCCTCATGACACAGCTCAGCATTAAAGCACTTTAAAAGGGAATTTGATTATCACTTTCTGGTACTCATGATGCTGATGATAGTGAAGCATTGCTCAAATTACAACAACCTCCCCTATTTTAATGACAACCTGGGGCTTTTCCTGATGACCATGTCTGACTCAGTCATGCACACTCAAACCCACCTGGGAGATTGCCTTTGGGAAACCTCATGTTCAATAAGTCTGATGCTCCACACTGACGTGGCTTTTACCATGGTCATAAGCAAGCCCATAAAAAGTATTCACTGGCCACGGACATTCCTGAAGTAACTGTGCAGCAAACTGGGAATTGAGTGACCTGCTTCTAGCTGGGGAATTAGACAATCCAAAGCACAGATCAAGCAGAGCTTAACCCAAAAATTAATCAGAAGGTGGCAGTGGGCTTGGGTGTTGATTTATATAGAGGTTTGAAGAGATGCTCTTCTGCCTAAGCCAAGTCCTGCCCTGCACGTGAGAATCACATGAAGAATGTCTTCCACACTGAGCTCACTAGAAGACTTTCATCTGTTTTCTCAATCCTGGCTGGGTCTGTGAAAAGAAGCCGTGCTATGGAGGTTGATAGTGCTGTCATTCTAGAGAGAAGCATTTTAAAAAGATGTCTGGAGGCCTTAAATAAAGTGGAGTATGGTAAGTTTAGGTGTCTCCAAGGTTTTGGCAGCAGTTGTAACTAAGTGTGGGGATTTAGTCTTCTGTCCATTATTCTTGAAGCACCTAAAACTTTAAATGGCAAAACATTAGACTGTATGCTTTGAGCATGTAAATTTAACAAACCTAAGTACCAAAAAGAATTATGAATTATGAGGAAAAATAAGTAAAGAGGGAGGAAGTGATCCTTTGCAATTAAGAACAAAGACCATACTTTCGGGATACTGGACAGCCCTGGCACAGGATTTGTGTGTGACCCCAGGGCAGTAACTTAGCTTTTTTTGCCCCCTTATTTACATCTGTAAAATAGAGATAAAACTATTCATGACAGATTTGAAGGTGCTTGAAAAGCACTTTGAGAGACCTTTGGACTTGCCAAGCTTTGTTGCTTTTGTATTATGTAGAGAAACTCAGAATAGTAGAAGGCCATAGATGAGAGGCTCCAAAAGGTTATTTCACAGAAGGGAGGAAGGGACCAGAGTTCAGTGTGTGACTGAGCTGCATTGATAGAGATAATAAAGAGATGGCAGAGATGCAGCTGGGCCTTGCAGATTTCATAAAAATCATAAAACAGAGAAAGTGTTGGGTGCTTTCTGCAGCTGTGTTTTGCTCAGGAGGGAGGTGTATGCCACCCGTGGGCTGTGCAGGAGTAGCTGTGCCCTTCCCAGGAGCAGTGCTGTGGGCTGGGTTGTCTGGCTGATGGCTGATCTGGAAGTGCTGGGTGGGAAGTGCTATTAATTCCAGGGAAAAGGAGGGGGAGGATGCTGCCCACTGCAACACAAAGCATGTTTATCTAATAGGCCAATGACTCATGAAAGATAACATGGTATCCTAATGCTACTTCTGTTATCAAGTTATTTCAACACCCTAATAAAAAGAGAGATACAAGCTGCTTTATCAGGAGCCTTTAGTTTAACCAGTCCTGTGTGTACATCCATGCAAGCAGTGACACAGACCTAAGCACAGAACAGCAGAGCAGGCAACAGTCAGCCTCAGGATAGAATTATTATTAGTAGTAATATTTATTTATACAATAATATATTGTATATTGTACATTTATTATAAAAATATTGTTTATATAGTTTTTGTTATTATTACTGTTATTACAATATTTTGAATTTGACTCTTGTCACTCCCCCTCCTGAACTGGACAGGAGAGAGAAAATATAACAATAGGTTTGTGAGTTCAGGTGAGGGCAGGGAGAGATGACTTGCCAGGCAGAACACTCCTGACTTGGGGAAATTAGTTTCATTTATTACCAGTCAATTCAGACTAGAATAATGAGAAATTAAACCAAATCTTAAAAACACCTTCACCCCACTCCTACCTTTCTCCCAGGCTTAACTTTATTCCTGAATTCTTCACCTACTGTCCCCAGTGGTGCAGGAGGACAAGGAATGGGGGCTGCAGTCAGTTCATCACACATTGTTCCTGCAGCTCCTTCCTCCTCAGGGGTGGAATCCTCACACTGCTCCTCTGCTCCAGCATGGGGTCACTCCCACAGGAGAGAGTTCTTCACCTGCTCCTTCAATGTGGGTCCCTTTCTACAGGCTGCAGCACTCCACAGATTGCCAGTGTGGGTCTGTTCCATAGCACTTCCCTTCAGGAAAAGGCTGTTCCAGAATCACAAGTACTGACAACAAACCTGCTCCAGTGCAATCCTCTCCCCACAGGTCCTGCCAGGAGCACTGCCTTCCTGTGGGGTCACAGCTTTCTTTGGGCATCCACCTGCTCTGGTGTGGGCTCCTCCACGAGCTGCAGGTGGATCTCTGCTCCCCCGTGGACCCCCATGTGCTGCAGGGCACAGCTGCCCCACCACGGGCTGCACCAGGGGAATCTCAGCTCCAGTGCCTGGAGCAGCTCCTGCTCCTCCTTCTCCCTCGACCTGGAAGAGCTGTTTCTCTCACACATTCTCACTCCTCTCTTCTCTAGCTGCAGTTACCATTGCACAGGGTTTTTCTCCTCCTTTACCAAGTTAACCTCGGAGGTGCTACCACTGTCACTGATGGGCCTTGGCCAGCAGCAGGTCCATCTTGGAGCCATCTAGCATTGGCTCTGTAGGAAGTAGGAGAGGTTTCCAGCAACTTCTCAGAGAAACCACCCCTTTATCCCCCCCACTACCACCCAAACCCAATACAGTTTTATAACTGGAACCATTATACGAGAAATATCCAGGTCTGTTGAGCTCTGACAGGGATTTTTGTTCAAAGCAGTGGCAGCCAGTTCCTCCCATCAGGGTACACTGATGCTCTGAAGTGGGGTGGAGGGGAAAGAGAAGTCTTCAAAGTGAGACATTTTATTAAGGAAAGGCTAAGAATATCACATCTCTGTCAAGTGTTTAGTCACACAAATTATAGTAAGATCAAAAGGTATAATTTATGCAGTACAATTCTCTTAATTGGCACAGAGTCTGGTGGAGCCAAAAAGGTGCCACTTGAGCAATTGTCCTGATTATTGGAGACTCATAGGAATATGCTTTTCAAATCTACATAAGAGGCAGAAGGATACTGGGGTCAGCATCTTTATCCTTCTCTGTCAGTGCTGGATAATTCCCTGCAGTATTCTTCCTGTACCTAAATTACACATGATAAGGTTTCTGCAATCTTCCTTGAAGATTGTTTCTCAATCAAATAGATTTCATTATTAATTTACTATAAAGTGTCCTCTGCTTAATTCCCCCACTTTTCCCCAATTTACATAACCCTTATTATTGCTCTGAAATTAAGCCCTTTCCTTCTCTTTACTGTTCCTCTCTTTGGGATCTTAATATGACACCACCAGTCACATCTTCACCCACCATTTTACCAACCAAAACATTAGACAATTCCTAAGAAATGATTGCTGGTGATTCTGGGTGCCCCCCCGCCACCCTTTTTCTATGTACCTCTATGGGCCTGTTAAGTCCTTTAAGTTGTTTGTGAGCTGTTCACCTAGAAACTGGGGAGCTGGGATGGCTAACTGTGCAGAAAACATTCTCTGAGTCTTAGTCCTGATGTACTCTCAGTGCTCAGGTTGACATAGGCTGGATGTGTGGAAGATGAGCAGGGCTCTGAACCCTGCCACACTTTCAACTTCCAACAGCAAATTCACTTTTTCTGGAATTTCTGAAAGACATGCTAGTGCTGTGAACTTCAACATAACTCATTTTGGAGTCATGCTGAGCAGTAGAAGCAGAGGAGGGAAGCTGTAGCTCAGGAGTTTGTCCACCATCAAATCAGAGTAGTACAACTCCTTATGCAGCCCACACTGTTTGCATGGATGAGGGATGTCATTTTCTGCACAGCTAGCAATCCCATCTGAAATTTCCTCTTTAGCAGCCATCCCAGTTAAATTACTCTGTTACTTATCAGGATCTAGAATTGCTGTAAGTTAAAAAAAAGTGACTCTGCTTCCCTTGTGAAGAAAAACATTGCTAGAAATAAATGCTTTTGTTTCTTTATGAAAAATGGCTAGTCTGGATGAAGTATTTTTAGTCACTCTGGGTGTGCTGCTGTTCATCTATTGTGGAGTGACTGAAGTAACTAGAGGAGGGGTGGAAGTAAGTGAGCATCACAGTCCATCTTTTTACCACAAGCTTAGAGGGACAAAGTCTGTAATTGTAGAGGGTTATAATAGAATCATTTAGGTTGAAAAAGACCTGTTTTAAAATGCAGTTAATCAGGGTTCTCTGCTTACTCTGTATAAGCAAGACACTTGTGATCTGGTGTTGTCATGGCTGTTGCTGAAGACTGTGGTCAGAGAGAGCGGCTTTTCTCACAGACTGCTTTTTCCACAGACAAGGATGCAGGTCAAATAGGTCCCACACTGCCAGCCTCAGACACCCACAGCAGAAGCACAGGTGTCAAGGAGATGAGCAGAGAGGCTCTCAGGAGCACGGAGCTGTAGTACTTGCCAGTAGCAGGCTGCATGCGAGTCCATTTGACTGTGCAACCCTTGTGCTGAAGTGACCCTGATGCCAAAGTCGTGTTTCTTTGTCCTCAGTCCCATTTGGTGACGTGCCGAGCTGCATGCACTGCTGTCGTCGTCAGTGTCGTATAATACCAACGACTTTCGGAAAGCACTAATGAACAAGTGCAATTTCTTTTCTCTATTGTTGGGTTTTTTGTAAAGTTGCTCAAATGCTCTCAGGTATGGCGGCCCTGAACGGAGGACTCGGCGCAACTGGCCTGACGAACGGCACGGCCGGCACGATGGACGCGCTCACCCAGGCCTACTCAGGAATCCAGCAGTACGCGGCCGCCGCGCTGCCCACCCTCTACAGCCAGAGCCTGCTGCAGCAGCAGAGCGCCGCGGGCAGCCAGAAGGAAGGTAAGTGCCCACGCCAGCAAACCCAGCCCAGGCGCTGCCACGCGGCTCTTTCCTCCTGGAGGCTTCGTGGAAAGCCTCAGGCAGTCTAATCTGTGATTTCTTCTTCATCCAGTTTTCTCCTGCCTGCCATTGTGAACTTCTTCTAATGTGTCACCTTCTTCTTCTGTCTAATGTGTTTCATTTTCAGCCATTTGTCCAAGTTATACTTTGCCACCCATCCCTTCCTTATATAAAAGCATTTACCAACTACCACATAAAAAGGCGCCACTAACAAAAATCATCCCTCCGCGGATGCAATTTTGTCGTCTGGTTTCCATTTTCTGTCATAGTGGAGTTAATCTGATTAAGGTTTTGAGCTAATGACAAGATCCGTTTTCACTTTGAGTGGTTCTTCGCTTAATTGTGGGTCTTGTGAGGAAGCTGCTAAGTGAATGATTGCCTCCCTCTCCCTACACCAACAGCAAATAAACCTCAGGAAGTTATTGCTAAGAATAAATGAATACTAATTACAAGGTGTTTAGGAAAATGAGGCTACCCTTTTCCCCTCTTCCGTTCCCCTTCATGCTTCCCAGGCATTTTCAGGGGGGTTGTTTCTGTTTTCATTGCTTTCTCCTGTCCTAATTTCCAGCTAATTCTACAAAGACAGGAAAATACTGCATGCTTTCTAAGACTGTATCTATGTTGTCACTACTGCTCTTGCCAAGGATAAGCTTTGGAAATAAATCTAGTATAATATCCTCAAGAGAAATCTTTTTTATCCTCTTTTGAAATAGTATTTTGTACTGTTATGGGATGTGTTTCCTAGGAAGACAAATTTGGCATTCCCCCAGGTGGTTATTGTATAGCAACACTGGAGTTAAAATGTATATTTTCTCTCAAATGTTTCCTTCGTTTGCTGCTAAAAGCTTGAATTATTTAAAATGAAAAGGGATTTTTTTATTGTTTTTTCCATATTTTTTGTTTTCTGTATTTATCTTTTACCTCAGGCCCTTTCATCTGTGACAATAGAGTATTTGACACGAGAAAAAAATTGTTTATTTGGTGTCATTGCAAGATACATAGTGAAGGCCAGCTTGATATTTTTTTTCTAGCTATTTTAATTTTTCTGTGTTCAGAAACATTCAAATCAACTTTAGGCTTATTTTTTTGTTTTTATGAATTGCTGGCATCCGTTTTAAAACACATTGTTTTGTTATATATCTTGTATCTGTTAGTGGGTAGTTAAGTCAAGTGAGTGAATTCCACTACTGAATACTGATAGCAATGTTTTGTCTCTTACCATGATTTCTGATGGAAGAGTCTGGAGTGGTTGAGGATAAACAAGTACCAGAGAAAAATGCTATATAAATATTAAATGCTGAAGCACAGTGAACTGCCTTGTGCATATGCTCTTAAATATTATTTAGCAATTTTTTCCCCCTATTATTTAAAAGAGCATTATTTGCTGGGAATGATAATTTACTTGTGACAAGACGAAAAAGTTCCAAGTGACAAGTTTATTTCATCTTTTTTTTTTTTCCTGCCTCCTCAGAATTATTTTTTTTAATCTAATTCATTTATCTACTTCTTTTGGGCAAACTTTGTTACCTTTTCCTTCAGGCTGAGAGAGAGCAGCCAGTCTTATTCTGTGTAGGAGAGGTGAGGCTCTGTGGCTCTGTTGCTGAACAAGATCTGTAAATCTCATGAGCGCTTTCCTCTTCCTCTCCAGAAAACCAAAGACATCACATCTGAGAACATTTAGGTTCAATTAAGCAAGGGAATAAGTAATCAGGCTAGTCTAGGTGTGGTTTTAGCAGAAATGCTTGTTCCCTTTGTGTACCACTTACACTGCTGGATGGAGCCTGCACGGAGGCCACATCTGGCTCCATCATACATCACACTCTTCCTGGCATCCATTGCTCCTTTCCAGTGTGTTGCTACTGAGCTAGGGGGAAAAAAAACAACCTATCAGTACTAGGATGAATGTTTTAACTTACACCTTTAATAATAAATTTCTCAAACTTTTTCTGTAATGAAAAATATTCAAAGCACCTTTGAGTTTACACCTTTGTTTGCAAACTGAACTAAGTCTAAAGCCACTTAATTGCAACCCAACTACTTCATTTTGAACTTCTTTAAAATAGTTGTTTTACAAAGCTTCTTCCAGAAGATAGATCTTTCTATGGGGGATTTATATTAAAAAAAAAAAAAAAAGCTCATTTTGAAATTAGTCACTACAAATTTAATTCTCAATGTCTTTTTCTCACTGACTTCACTGACTTTTAAGTCACAAGGTGTGCTTCTTACTATTTTTCTTCCTATCTGCACCATTTTCTTGCCTTTTGAGTTTAAATCTGTGGTACTCAAATCTGAGCTCACCTCCTTCCCTTTCCATAAGTTCCTGCAACTGGAATTAAACTGACAAACCCATGCAGGTGTTGGAAGCAGCATAGGACTCCTTGTGGAGTTCTTGGAGCATTTTGAGAGCCAATACATTCTGTACCTCTTTTCCTAACCTTAATTATACTGAAAGACACTCATGTAAATTGAAGAAAGAGGATGAATTTAACTACTTCTATAGTAGAGTTATGAAATAAACACTTTTCAAAGTAAACACTTTTCAAGATGGGATGCTCTCAAGAGCTGCATTTCAGCTGTGCTTCTTTGATGATCCACTTGCTTTTGTTCCTTCAGAGTTAGAAAGTGAAATGCTTTCTGACCATCAGCTTCAGTAAGTATTATGGAAAAACAGATTAAATGTAGCACTTGTAATAGCTGTTTTCATACTTCCTTTTTCTCTTTTTTTTTTATTTTCCTAAAGGTCCAGAAGGGGCAAACCTCTTTATTTACCACCTCCCCCAGGAGTTTGGAGACCAGGACATTCTGCAGATGTTCATGCCTTTTGGAAATGTTATCTCTGCTAAAGTCTTCATTGACAAACAGACCAATTTGAGCAAGTGCTTTGGTATGTCAAATTTAATAAATCCAATACTAAAAGCCACATGCACTATACTGAAAAGGGGCCAGGAAAGAAAATTAACAACAATGTGAGAAATGTCATGCTGGAAAATCATTCCAAAAATAATAGACTGTTAATCCTCAAATGAGCAGGAAGATGCACAGACAAACTACTTCTAACTAAAAATTGGATATGAAAAAAAACAATAATAATCTTCCAGTCTGACATCTCGCATGAATGTGTCAAGTACATGAAACTAATTACACCCTGTGTGGGGGAATGTCATTTAGTATACTATTAAATTGCCTTATTATGGATACCTAATTATTCTCTATTGTATAGCTGAGCCACTTAAAAAAAGCTCTATGTTTAACCCATTGCTTCTGCATTACAGGAATTTCTTTCTTCTGAATTAAGTACAAGATTTTGCAATTTGTGACTGAATGGTGTGTACATGTAGTTCAGAATATTCTGCAGACAGTTGATGTCTAGATATGCAGCTCCAGCTGTTGTGGGTGGGTTCCAGTGTGTTGTGGAAAGTGGCATCTCCCTTACCTTAGGGCGGGGATGAAGAGAGCCTCACAAGATCAGTGTCAAGTTTCCCAGAAACTTGACATTGAGCTGTCAGAAAATTAGATCACAGCAGAGGAGGAGATGATGTGTTGGTATAAAAATAGTTTTAGGGTTGATTAGGAGAGCTGATGTCTTTGGAATAGCAGAGATGCACCAGTTCAGTGCTTTGATGGAGTGGAGCAGAGAATGTGAGTGAGTGGTAAACTTTTGGGGCATGGATCTAATAATTATGGTCTTATACAAGACACAGAGAGGATTTAGGAGGAGGAAGGAATCTCTTAACCATGAGTTTTGCAAGGGTTGATACAAAATACTGGAATTTTCTTTAAAGTGGCAATTCTTTACCAAAGTAATGGGCCTGTATATATGACAAAAAGGGATTGGACAGTACACTTGGAAATTTGATTCAGTTCACAGAAAGAGTGTAACATTCTGTCTGCATTTTCCCACAGTCTTTAAGTTCATTTTTGAAGCATTCAGCTCTTTAGGCTTTACAAAAAATTATTCATATCAAGACCAGTATAGTTCAGCCTGTGTCTGCAATGGGTTAAAGCAGTCCCTGAGGCTCTTGCAAATTTGAAAAGTGGAATTGAAATGGACTCCCCATTGATCTGGAGCCAGTTCTGTTAGTATGTTGAGGGTTACAAAATCGTTGTTGAGGTCTCCAGGAATCCTGATGAAAAGACAAATCAAGCTATGTTAATCAAAATGCAGCAATTGTGGTGACTGCTGAAAGAATGTAAATCAGTTTGGGCAGGTGGCTCAATTCATCAGATCGTTTCCCACACTTGCTTTTTGTGCATTTTCTTTTACTCTTTGATTACTTTCTTACACATTTGCCTGGGTTTGTGGGACACAGTTGCCTAACTTAGTAATGCACCAAAGTTATCTTCTTTAAGGGAAAGTGGAGGTGTCGACACCAAGCGGATGGAGGGATCCTCTGTCTTTTTTGTTTATCAGCTTTCACTGATATTTCCATTTCTCAGTCTTCCTTCCCAGATATTCTGCTACCAGGGAGGGAGCTCTGCTTTAAAAGCAAAACATAGAAGTGACAGATAAGGCTGAGTTTTCTGATTCAGTGGGTGACTACTTGGTGATGCTGCAAATCACAGGCAAAGCCAGAATTAGTCCTGCTAGCTTAATGTACTGGCATAGTCTGCATGCACCTCCTCAGCTTTATTAGCAAGAATTGTCTGTTTTTTGTTTTGGTCCTATACTAGTGTTTCAAAAAGCCTTTTTTTTTTTTTTTTCTGTTCTCCCACCCAAAAACTACAACAACACTGCAGCTGAAGAACCCATTGCTCTGCTGAATCATTAATGGTCACTGCTCTTGGTATAGTTTGAGTTTGGGTTTTTTAATTTGTTGGTTTGGTTTGGTCTTTTTGCCCCTAGTAATTGTAATTGTAATAATTTGCACATGCTTAGGGCTTCCTACTCTGGAGTTTCCAATCTCCTGCCCAAAGGAGGAGGAAGTCAAATTACAGACGAGAACAGGTTGAACATCCAAAAGGTGTAAAGATTGTCCAAGTCTGTCTGGCAGAAATGGGAAGGTTTATTCTGAGTGAGTGATAGACAGTGATGAATCTTTATGCAAAACTGCTTCACAAAATGAAAAATTCCCTTTCTTTGCAGAAAAAGGACTTAGGCATATTTTATTTTCTTGTCCAACCCCAAATGAATGCTCAAAGGATTAAATGGTGATGAGGATGACAGGACAGTGTTTACACCTGGAAGTGCTCTTCCATGAGTTCTCACAGGCTCCATGGGCTTTAGTTGATTCAGCAGACAAAGGATTTCACTCTTCAAGCTTATCTCTTGCCTTTCATAAATGTTAGAATAAGAAAAATGAGATCTGTAAGTAAGGCAGAGGAGGAGGACCCAGTTACATCAGTGCAGAAATGCAGTCAGCCTTTTAGCAAAATTGTAACTTGAATGATGAAAATTATTTATTCCGATTATAGAGATACCCAAAGATCTAAAACAAAAATCAGAATTGTTATGACAGGATCTTTAAGAATTAATAAGAAACATCATTCCAACTTCATGTAACCTGTGGTTTAAAAATCAGACAAAAAATGATGAACGGGTCCAATCAGAAAAATACAAATAAAGGGAAGAAATTCTAGATTCCTCAGTAAAGCTTTATAAATGAAGATTCTCAATAAGGAAGATGAGAGTGTAACAAGCTAATGCAGGTATTGCTTTCTGTGTAAAGAGACAAATCGTGAATCGGAACAACTGAATTGAGAGGGGCTGATGCCAGCAGTGTGCTTCCTTCTCTTCATTCACCATCCACAGATGCCAAGTGACTAGTTTAGATCACTTGCTTACTTTTCAGCTGGATAAAACTAGGTACAAAGGAAAGGAACTACAGTGATGACAAGTTCATAGCAGTAATATGCACTTAAGGGAATAAAGTGAAGGTCAGGAAAGCTGTAGAGGGAAATGCTGAATTGTTAAGGTAGGTAGGAGTAGCTGCACCTCAGCTGTGGAGCATCTGCCTAGACAGTGCTACAGCTGCCTCCCAGCTCGTGCTAGTTCCCTTTGCTATCCCTGAGCCAATCCTAGAGCCAGTGGAAGGAGACACAGGACACAGAGCTAAGATAATGATTGGAGTCATGTGAACAGACATGATCTCCTAGAACCAAATAGGGGAAAGGAAGAAAGGAAGAGAGTAATGAAGCTCCTCAGGATTTGGAAAAAAATTTTGGTAAAAAATTTAAGAGGGAATGATCTCAGGGAGGAAGTGAGGAAGTGGCAAGAGTTACTAAAACCAAGGAAGATATGGAGGAACATTTATTATCCCTTAAGGAGGCAACAAATAATCAACCACAGGACAATATGGATAGAGCATATTGGCTTTGGCCAGGAGAATGTCCGCAGAAGTTTAAGTGAGAGGTGGTTTTGAGTGGAAGGAACAGAAGTTGGCCTGAATTGTCAGAGTCTTAAATAGTTTGGTGAAGTTGATTTAAGGTGAAGCCACAGGATGATCTATGAAGGAGAACAGCTGGACAAGGATACCTTGATAAGGAGGGAAGGTTTTATGCTGTGGGGAAAGCATTGTAACACTGACTCTACAACTGGAAGAAGGCAGCAGTGCAAGAGCCATAAAGGATAGGTTAAAGTAATGGTAAAAATAGGTTATGAACCCAAGTACACAGACACTAAGCACAAATTAATGAAGCTGATTGAGGAAAGAGAGGCACTGAGAAGCCCGTGTGTTAGGACTGAAGACAAAGTGTGTGGCATCCATGCTTTAGGAGAGTGAAGGGATATATGTTAAGGCAAATTCAAGTGGAAAGAAGAGGGAGCATTTCAAAGCAGATGCATAGCAGCAGGCTGAGTGCAGTAATAATTAGCCCAAGCTGAGGCAGAGCAGCAGTTAGGTGAGCTTTGCAATTACAAGTGGGAGGCCCAGATATGAAAATGAACTTTGAGCTTCCAGAATCAGGGAGATTTGAATATATTATGAACAGAACATTTTCAGTCTCCCAGGGAAAAGAAATCTGAGCCAGGCCAGCCGTTCTGAATTACCCAAGCAAGCATTATCCTCCTAGTTAGTGCTCACATGCGAGAAGCAGATCTTGGAGTTCTCATCAAACCCTACCATTGTCTTTATGATGCTGCTTAATTTTGATGTTTGCATACCCCTTTGGGGACCAAGCGACTAAATGAACTAACATTAAGGTACCCTGAGATCTTGAACTGGAAGGAGCTGTAAAATTACAAAATATTAATATTGCAACTGTCCTAGGCTGAGCCCAAGGAGATGAGTGTTCCATAGCACACATGAACTCACACCCAGGTGTGCCAGTGGGTTTAGGCAGTTTGGGGGTTGATTCTGTAACCAGGCTGGCTGTTTCAGCTTCCCTTTTGCAGACTGGCCTAAATAGCACTTCCTAATAGACTGGGAGGCGTGTAGATACTACACTGAAAAGTGTTACAGTAATAAATATCTTCACTCTCTAAGGTAGGTATTAAATAACAAAATGGAAACTGTATTGCACCAAAATTGGCCAAATTGCATCCCAGCTAGTAAAGAAATCTTATAAACGTAAAGAGGATGGAAGGAAGGATTATAAACATAAAAGGGAAACGGGAGAAAATGGGATATGAAGTGTGATCAAAGAACTAATTGAAAGCCAGGTGAATGTGTCAAATAAATAGCAATCATAAAATTCGAACAAAACGCCTTCTGACATTTGTTCTAACCTAGAGCTGACTTTCTCTCCCACCTGTGTTCTGTGTCTCGCAGGTTTTGTTAGCTATGACAATCCGGTCTCTGCACAAGCTGCTATCCAGGCTATGAACGGCTTTCAGATTGGCATGAAACGCTTGAAGGTTCAGCTGAAACGCTCCAAAAATGACAGCAAACCTTACTGATCTTAACCCCAGATGCTTACTGCTCTTATTTTAGCTTTCTTAGGGTAAGTCCCAACAGCAAACCTGTCCTCTGCAGGGGGGTTAAGAAAGAACATAGAGCCAACCTTCACCAAGGGACAGTTATTTTTACAGTTACCACTTCCATCTCCCCACTTGTCCTTACTGCACTTGGCTCCCATTTCCTCGCCAAGTAATTACTGAGTTGTGTTACTGTATTTTGTTTTGCAGCATAATTTATCTCCTTTTCGAAACAAAAATAAACATCTTGAAATTCCAAACAGCACACACACACACACACACAAAAAAAAAAATGTGCAATTTAACTCTGTGAACCCTGGTGCCATTAGCACACAATAAAAGTTGTTTTCTATGGATGGATCGTATTTTACCAGGGTGGCACCAGCAGTTTATAGGTTAAACAAAACGGCCTCATGCCAGTTGAAGCACTTATTTTGCAACAAAAATTGAAATAAGTCTTTCCACTACATCAACTTGTTTTTTGAGAAGATCTGATTTTTTTTCGGTTCAAATCAACGTATTGTTATATATTAGTCTGATTTTACACTGGTCGTCTTTATATTTCATTTTTTTTAAGTTCTTGGTTTTTTGGAAAGGATTAATGTAAAAAAGATTTAGAGATCTGTTTCTAAAGCTACAGGGTTTAAAATAAAAAAAATAAAATAAAATGAGTGACAATACTTGATGTTTCTTGAGAGATAAATTTAATAATAATAAAAAAAAGAAAGCCACAGGCCTGTAAATTTTATTTGTAAAAAGCATTTCTATTTTTATACAAAATTTTTACTGCCTCAGAAATAATGGAATTTATTTATTGCCTATTGTTAACTTATTGGATACCTAAAGAGCAGCTCTCTATGCTAGCTAGATCCTTTGAAGTAGTCTCTAGAGTAATTGTGCCAAGAATGGGCTCTTTTTCACTGTTGAACCCTCCACCCTTTGCAGTTCATGCTTTTATCCTCTTGTTTGTATTTGTCTGGTTATTTTGTTCGTAGTTTCCATTACCTAGTTTAAAGTTCAGTTGTCTGACCCTTTCCCTCCCACCCCTCTCCCTGTACCTTTCTGTTACATTTGTAGAAACTGGTTCTTTCCTCTCTTTTCTCCCCAAAGAGGAATCCATTCTTTCTGACTCTTTTCAGATGGATTCTTTTGGGGCTCCATTGTGTTCTTGTTGGCAAGTATTGTAAGTTAATGCAAATTATGTGAACAGCTCATAGGCTCTACTGATAAAAGATTTGCATTAGATTTCTCCTGCACCCATAAAAGTGATTTTGTTTGTGCTGCATAGATTCTGTGTAACTTTTTTTCCTCTTCCTTGTTTTTTCCCTAGACATCTCCATGCCCGTTAGCCCATCGTTTGCCTAGCATGTCCCTGTGGCGTCTCAAAAAAAAAAAGTTTCATCGTCCCGTCATTGTTTCTGATGTCTTTCTGACCTCACATCATATTTGGTTCTCCTACTGACCTAGTTTGACCTTTGAAATTTGCATGTGACCTCATCTAGCTATGAATTCTGGGAAGTCAATGTGAAAAAACATTGCTGCATTCATGCAAGACTGAAATTTATTATTAGATAAATTAATGATAGGATTTAAAAACAACCTGTGGCAAAATGTTTTCTCTTTCTTTCCTTTTTTTTCTTTTTAGTTTTGGTTTTTTGGTTTTCTTCTTTCCTTGGAGTTTTTGTTTCGTTTTGTTTGGGTTTTTTTGTTTTTGTTTTTGTTTTGGGTTTTATTCTTGGTTGATTTTTGGTTTTGTTTTTCTTCATTTCGTAAAAAAAAAAATAAAAAAAAAAAACAGACTTGAAAGTATTATACAGGGATTGGCATTCTGCCTGGTCACTGGTGACAATAGCAATATGTGTCCAGAGGCACAGAATGTTGGTTTCTAACAGACTACTTCCAAAACAGTTTGAGAAATAAAACTGTCTGATTTTAAGTCTCTAGAGGTCTGTAATAGTTTTTACATTTTTCAGGCAGTGTAAAGTTTTTTGATAAGGCCATTTTAGGTGGCTCACTTTCTCATTAAAGTATATATATAGAACCACTTTTTGTAGATTAGTATAAGAAAATATTTACCCTGTTTTAGGGCAAATGCTACCTATTTGTGTCACCTTTTGCTGAACTGACTCACAGTTAGACAATCCATGGTTTAATGCACATGAAATTACCTATATTTTATACTGTTTCAATGTACAGAAGAAAGGTTACTGTAAAATGTGTTACGTTGGTGCTTCTGTGAATTAAGTTGTGGTTTCATCATGAGTCTTATGGTCTTAAGTGTTCTATGTTTATAAAAAGACAAGTTTAAAATTGGTTTACTTGAACAACAAGAACAAAAAGAAGATTCAAAAAAAAAACACAAAAAAAAAAGTTGTTTGCTTAAAAAAAAATAATTTCATGTGAAAATGAAAAAATATTCCAGAATAAGTTTGTGTTGGCTTGTGACGCATTGATGTCATTTTTTTATTGTGAACAATTTAGGTGTGTTTGTGTTCAGCAAAATGTGATCAGTTTTTCTTTTAAAGAAAAAAAATCAGTGAAACTATAGTGCCAAATTCCAAAGGTACTTTCTTCCTAGAGCTTCAGTGTGTTTCTTGTGTGAAGTAATTTGATAACATGGGTATTTTATTATGTGTTTTGTATAAATCCCTAATATTTAAAGAAAAAAAGAGGTTAAAAAGTTTGTTAACTTGCTATCCTGTGGTCTTGTTGCCTGAAATTGTTATTGTTTGTTATTTCTCTTTGATGTTTTTTGTAAAACATTGTATAAGTGCCCATGTTTCACTTTTTTAACCACTCTGCACACATCAATGCTGTGAAAGCAAACCTCACTATGTATTTTCTTCATATTGTATGGAAACCTCTAAGGTGAGAAAGTTTTGAACTTTTAACCCTTTCCACCCAGAGCTGTCTTGAGTGTTAATACCTTTTATACATTCACCATTTTGCTGTTTATTTTTATATATATATCTATATCTATAAATATATATATACTTAGTTTTTTGTGGTTTATTTAATACATGGTTGAAATCAGAACAATGCACAGGGCAGATCTGAAGGACAAAAATATTTTACTGCTGTCTAAATTTCTTCTGTATCTATAACTAAAATTATTTAAAACCGTAATTAACTTGTGGTTTTCCTTTTTAGATTTTGGGGATTTTGTCTTTTCTTAAAGAGCTTTTAATATGCTGCTGGAATATGCTATTCAGTATTAATAAAATAAAAGAAAAAGAAAACAATTCTTTAATTATCTATTGTATGAGCCACTCCCAGCCAGGAGTGGTCAATCCACCATTTGAAAACCTTGAGGAGAAAAAAAAAAAAAGAAGAAGAATAATATTTTTGTAATTTAAATAAATGAATTTTTGCTTAAATCAGATGCACTAGATCTTCCTGGGTGAAAATTCAGTGTGCACTGCAGTTAAACTACTTTTTATGGATAAAGTTTACATACACTGTAATGTTTGGTGTTATTTGCCATTATTTGTCACGGCAATATATTGGCTTACTCCTGCAGACACTCGTTCAGAGAGGAGTGACTTTACTCATCCCCATGGTCCATGGGAGTATCTGTGTGACTGATGTGGGTGTTTGCTGGAGGAAGCTCTTTGTAAGGAGCCAGAAAAGAGATGCTGGTAGCCCTTTTCACTGCCTTGTAAGTCTGATTGGGTTGTGTTCCTACTACACAAACAGTGACCAACAACCAAATTCGGTTCTTTGCCACCGGTTCAGCAAATTCATTGCCAATCCAATGTGTGTGAGCAGCAGTACCTGCTACAGGTCATAAAGTGCCATAACTTCTTCCACCTCCTAGTTCTATCTGGTTATATCTGAAGCCACCTAAAATTAAAAACGAAGCCCTATATGAGCAACATCAGCTGGTGCACTCTTGTCTCTCATCCCCAACTTAAATGCTTCTTTATGTAGAGCCCTGGGATGGAAAGGACTAGCCTCTAGTGATGCAAAAAAAGTTTCCTTCTTATAGCACATGCACTTATAAATAAATGATCTATACTTTTCTCACATTTTTACTACTGCTGGGGCCTTCCTACACCCTTTGAGGGCTATTTTGTACTACTTGCAGCAATTGTGCGTATTCAAAGTATCATCTCACGTACGTTATATTATATATATGTACATATATATATATATAATATGAGATCATCATTTGGATTGTTTAGAGACTGTTTCACTAATTTTTCTCATTGTACCCACCGTCTAAATTTCCAAAGTTTTTGTAGATGCCCTGGTGTGTCCTGTGGGTTTTCCAGTCTGGTTAGAGCGGTGATGCCTCTGGTCCTTGGGCAGAGTAACTCAACACCACGCTGCCCTGAATTACTCCACAGGTCATTGGCATAGCAGTGGGAGACAAGGAATTTTTCTGTACTTCCAGGCAACTGAGATGAGTCATTGCTTAGAAAAGTGTCCATCTCTGGAAAAAAAAAAAATTAAAATTTGAAAATAAAAAATAAAATTTAAATACAAAATAAAAACCCAAACAAACACCTCCGGGGCGCCAAATTATCTACCAGTTCTTTTCAAAATAATGAAAGGAAAAAGCTGCAAGGGTGCAAGGGCCTAATAAGAGAGGAAGTAAAACAAGGGAAATTGCTTTACAAAATTCTAATCAAAAGACTAGACTAGTTGCTTTATCAAACAAATTAGCTAATTGCAATGAAATGGCAGTCCTCAAAGGAGTAACAAGTTCATCTTTCTTTCACCATAGGGGTTACAGTTCCTTGGCTTGTGCTACTCTGGAATCATTTTACTGTTTCTGTTTTTATTATCTTAAGTGCTAATTAACAAAAGGAAAAAAATATCCTGTAGTTTCATTACCTTTTTGGATAATGTCATACAAAAAGAAAAAAAAAACAAACCTATGTATTTGTGTTTTTTTCGTGCTGTGGGAATTGTTGTTTGTAGATTAATAATACTATCATTTTGTTTAGAATTACAAACTAGTTTTTAAGTATTGTCTGAGAAAAGCCAAAGTTAATGCAATCTAGTGGAAACTGTAAGACCATTTGAGTATTGTTTCTGTTTTATTGATGCATTTGGATTTTGTTGTTTGATGGAATTTGAGCCAAAAAAAAAAAGAACAAAAAAAAGGCAAAAAAAAAAAAAAAGCAAGGCTTTCCTATTTCTACAACTTGATTGTACTTATGCATTTTGTACCAGTGGAACTTTTTATACTGGAGATTAAAAAACAAATGGAAATTTTTGTGGCTTACTCTCGTGGGCCCCCTCGATCATGACTGATTTTCAAGTTTGATTTCTGGACGGTAGAAAGAGAGTTGGTTTTGTTTTGAGAATTCAAAACTTTGGCTTGATTTCTTTTTTTCCCTTTGCTTATATCTAGTGTTTAGAATTTTGTCTTAACAAAAGCGGTAAGTTTCACTTTTTATTCTGTATCGTGCAGTTACACAATAAGGTAATTAGAATTAGGAGTACTCGGTCACTTTGCGTGGATAAATGTATTAGTTAAAACGTTAGGGGTTTGCTTTTTTGCTGTTTAGATCAGAGTTTTTTCTGATTCTTCTGTCCTCATTGTGAACATAACCGTGTAGTTGAAACAGTCAGACTTATTTTTGTAACGTATGTTATTGTGTGATGCAGTTTTTTGCTTCTGTCTCCAATATTAAACCATTTTCCTAATACTTGTCTCTCTACTTTGTGTGTTGTATTGTTGGTGGTCATTCTGTGTTGGTAATACATCTGCACACCTCACTGTTTCACGTGCCTGTTTTTTTTTTTTTTTTCTCTATTTGTTGGTTGTGTACAAAAGATACAGTCGATTCCACCTAAGTGAATAGCTGATTGGGGGGCAAAAGAGGATTTGTACATTTTAGACATTTTCTGGTTTCTTTGATTTTTTTTTTTTTTCTCTCTTCCTCCCCCTAGTCATGCCTTATCACTTGGATAATCTCTTGGAGCAGGAAGCATTTTAAATGAGTTTCCTGCAAAGTCCTATTGAAGGTAGCTTTTGTTAGCCTTCAAACTGCAAACCTTCTGCACACAAACACAGAAGACACCTGAAAAGATTTTTTTTTTTTTTTTGTGGCATTTCAGTCAGTCTGGAAAATGTGGATTATGGAGATAATTCCTTCCTAGTTGTTAAAAAAAAAATAATACTCTGCCACTACGTTGCAGAAGCATATGAAACATTCAAGAAAAGGAAGATATAGCCTTGGGATTTTTTCTAAACTGCACAATAATCTGATGGCATATGGCGTTAGTCAGACTCTCCCTAGAAACAAATCATATCTTAACTAGGGCTGAGACAGCCTGCAAAATCTTACCAGGTGATCAAGCTTGTTATGTGCAGTTGTACATTAAATACTTTTAAAAATATAACAAAATCCAAGTGAGCACAGGAAGACTTTCTACTAAAGCCAGTGGAAGTAAAAAAATAAAATTAAAAAAAAAAAACAGGAGAAATAAATGATGGAAAAAAGATCCTCCATTGTTCCAATGGATGATACTTTTGCTGTGGGCTTACAAAGCAGATCATTCTCAGCATTGGCTGATAGTATTACACAAACCTCAAAAGGGACTAAAGAAATACCATAGCACTTTTTTTCTCATTATTTTTTACACTTGGCTCTTAGCTTTTTTATTCTTTCCTATATATTTTTCCTCCTCACAAGATTCTCTCTGCTCTCCCCCAACCGGTGTCTACCACAATGAAATAAAAGCTGCAAAAGAAAAATCTATGTTGTTCTGGTTTACAGAAAGTCTCTTCTCTCCTCTGATCACAGATACAAACCTTACAATTTGGAGAGGGGGGGAAACAAAACAAAACAAAACAAAACAAAACAAAACAAAACAAAACAAAACAAAACCAACCAAACCAAACCCAAGGAGGAGAGAGAAGCACTGGTGAGTGCTCTCTGGAATTCAAGCCATACGCCCCCATCCCTTTCCTTTGTCCCACTTTCTGTGATGCTCAGGAATCGAAGACCACTTAAAAGTGCTCTTATGAGACCCAAACGACACTCCTCCCTCTTGTCTCCTCTCCCCTGGTCTTTCTGGCGCTCTGGCTTTGGCTCACACACACACACAGCCCCATCAACACCGTCTAACAAGGTCCTGGCGCACTGGGTGTATCCGTGTGGTGTCAGCAGCAACGTTGGTTCCCGCCTTTGGAAGACTTTTGAAATTTTCTGGTGGCTTGTGAGTTGGCCTGGTTGTTACTGCTCAATCTATTTTTCTGATTTTTTTTTTCCTCCTTTTTTTCACTTTTCTGTTTCCATGAGAAGCAAACAAGTCATGAGTCTGGAGCCCCCAGTGAGCTCCAGTGCCTTCCCGAAGGGTCTGTAATCAGAGGTCAGGGGTCCAAGCAGCTCTAGGTTTAACCTAAAACCACAGGAGCCTGTAGCAGACAGCCCAGGCAGGAAAGCAGAACCCGATGGCCAGACTATATCCTGGGTATTTAACACCTCTAGAGTTTATGATCTTGATTTGGATAATTTTGACACCAGTGGATTCAGTTAAGTAAGTCTTGACTTGCATGATGGATAAATCAGAATTGCTCTCTGGGGTTTTTTAGCTTGCTGTGGATGTTTTCTTTTTCTTTTCTCTTTTTTACCTCCAAACTTGGTCTTAGGAAAGAAACTAGAGCTTTGTGAAGGGTCTTTTCTTCCAAAAATACAAGTGAAAAAAAAAGACTTATACTGCAGTTAGGTTTCTTTTAAATACTCAGGGCTGAAAGATACAGGGTTTTCTTTCTTTCTTTTTTTTTTTTTTTTTTTTTTAATTTCAACAATGGGGGAAAAATGAGTTCCTTAAAGCAATGCAGCTGAACAGTTTGTCCTGCTTAAACACATGCTTTTAATTTCAATTATGTAAGGCACCTTGCAGTGTTAGCAAAATGTCTTCTTTGTTAGCTATATGTGTATCGCCATGGGAAATTACCAAACTGTCACAAGACTCGCTGATTAAAGAATAGCCTGCCAGAGTGTGTGTGCCTTTGCCCAGTGTGACTCTTAGGTATTAGGCTAAGGAAAACAGTTTAACAAAATGTAGTGTGAATCATTCCTGATAAGTGAATAAAGCATTGTGACCAAGCAATCAGATTATTCACTTATCAGGAATCGACTGTACTGATAGTTTGCCTGATCGTTTTTGTTCCTCATCTCTGTTGTAGTTTCACTACTTTGCTGTGTTCTGTTTTTTCTCTCATGCTCTTAGTAAAATCACTGGGAATATCCCTTCGTGTGATCATGAAACGTGCTACTGAGTAACAAATAAAAAAAAATTTAAATATAAAAATGATATCTTAACAAAATCTATGCACTTGCTATCAGGAACACAATACTGGATGTGTCTTATATATATTGAACTATAATAGTATTCGATTTCTTAAATAAAGCTTAAGAAAGGATTCTGTTGTCTGTAAAATTTTATGAGCATTAAATGGAACAAAAAAATGTTTCTAGGATTGGGCGCTTTTTGTTATATGAAATCTTCCTGGGTATATGGTCTTTAACCATGCCCAGGCAAATGTTAATTAATTCGCTTGATATTTCATTAATAATGGAGATTTTGAAAATTAGGCTTACTGAAATCTGGGGGGAGAAAAAGTCTTGCCATTCAGTGACTTGTAGCAAAAGATTCTAAGATGCAGAAATTTTGGTCTTTCTGTATTTGTAGAAGCAAACGTGTTTGGTTTTGCACTAAAATCAAAAAAATAGCTAAAAGATATGAATCAAAAAATGCTAGAAAACAATACAATACTGTACTTTTTGGCATATGGCTTTTTTTCCTCCTGATTCTAGATAGGTTTTGAATTAAGACATGAAAACCCATATACTCAAAATTCCACAGATTCAACCCTGGAGGTTAAAGCATCTTTTTGGGGAAGATCCATGGCTTACTGTATGTTTCCTGTATTGAGCCTTCTCTTAAAAAAAAAAACATTTTCACATCAAAACCCATGAATTAAATGGGAATTGAATAGGTAAAACTGTTGAGTACACTGAAAAAAATTATTCCTTCAATGGCTGTATATTTGCCACGAAATTGTAGATTTTAAACAATCTGATTTTTATGGAAATGGCCATAATTCTTGTATTTATCAAACTTTCAATAATGTCAGCCTTTGGCAGAAAGATCCAGGAGAATGAGGGGAGGGGAGGGAGAGGGGTTGCTTTCTTTTTTTCTTTTGAACTGCATTACTGCCTCAATTTTCATATGCCATTATATTATCTGAAAAAAAAAAAAATTAAATTGTGGAAATCTATCTGCTGCTTGTATCCTTCTATTCATGCATCTTTAGTAAACGTTACTGAGCTCAACATCCAGTGGCCAGGTGCACCAGCCTTGTAAGCCAAAAACACTGCTCCACCAGAGAGGTCACAGGGAAGATTTGCCTTGGTGGGCAGCAGGATGGTCCTGTCCATCCCACATCATTACAGTGCTCAGGTGGGAACCCTGCCCTGCTTTTCAAGGGCTGCTGATGTAACACAAATATTAAATAATCACAATGATTAGCTCATATTTGTATTCCCTCTGATTTTCCTCATTAGCAGACTTTCTTTTTTTTTTCTTTTTTTTTTTTTTCTCCATTAAAGGGAACTGGAAAGTTGCAGTCATTTTCTGAATCATTTGCCCCTGTTGATAACCTAATTGTTTTACATGAATGCTAATATTTCCCTCTCACACATTTATATCTATCAGCTAAATCAGCAGCAAAGTAAACTCTTCTGGGATACATTCCTATATCAATTAGCAAGAATTTATGCTCCAAAGCACCATTAGCATTAATGGGAGTGTGCTCTTTAGCATAAACAATTGGCAATAGATCTAGTGGACTTTATTTCATAAACAAAGGAGCATTTGAATCTTAGAGCCTTGTTGCCTCAAGACTGCACTTCAGGGAGTGATGTCCCAGCCTCCCCGGCTGCTCTGGGGACATCTCACTCACAGGACATGCATAAATTCCTGAGTTGCCAGCAAAAGGAGACAGTGTCAGTTTGGAAAGTGGGCTGACTTCTGGCACAAGCTTTTGCTGGCGTTTTCCCTTCTGAAAACCTGCCTGAGAACGCACCGAGCGAAACTTTTGGCATTATCTCCTGTCCCTCCGACCAACAGCTTGAGAAATGTCACTGTGAGTGTTGTGTAGTGCCTCAGGATGGGGACACAGAGGGGAGGGAGGGAGTTTGGAAAGGGACAGGAGGAAGAGCATGAAGCCCTGTAGGAAAGAAACTGGTGGGTCCATCATCTCCTTCAGCTGCCAGCCTCACAGCACCATGGCTTTCAGTAGAGAGCTGCACTAGCTCTCTAGACCAGTAAACAACCAAGTCTCAGCTTCCACATGTAGGCCAACATTTTTTCCCTCACCCTATGTTTGATCAACAAATACACAACCAAAATATTTCAGCCTTAATCTGAAGAGCTGGGGCAAAAGTCCACCACTTCCCAGTGGTGCAAGATCTACTGAATCCGTGGCCGTGCTGCTGCAGATGTTTTTTCTGTAGGTTTTGGCTTTGCTCAGTTCTGCTACATTAGAGCCCTTCTGCATCTGCCATTCCCCCCCAAAGGCACTCATAAGCAAGTCTCAAGTTGCTTTTCATCCCATGTTCATAAAACAAATACATCATGCTCTAGAAGCATCCACACACAATAGTGGGTTTTAGTCCCCGAATAATTTGTGTGCTTTATTTCTGCAACTTTTTTTCTTTTTTCCCCGACATTCTTTCTAAATTTGGGTTACCAGAGCCAGATACATTATTTCAACATCAAGTGGTGAAATATGCAGAAATTTAAAATTTCATCCCTACTCTACTCCTCCGAATGACACAGCCAGGGATAGCGTCAGTCCCTCTAAAAATAACATGCAAAAGCAACAAAATATCACATTAGCAGAATTATTTGGGGCTGCTCCTTGAGGATGCTGAAATCCCTCTGAGATGCATTGTGCTCCAGGTTCCTGTGTGTGTGGTCTGTTTGCCTGTTCTCCACTTGAAAGCCTCTTTACAACCACACTGAGAGCATTTCTGTATAACTACTAGTCACCTCCAATATTTTCCAATGTTGTCAGCAGTTTTGGTATTTACTTCCAAGTCATTATTGAAAATATTCAATAGCATTCAGACCCCCTCTAAAAAAACCACTCTCCTACAGTGAGTCTCCTTTGACAGCTTCTTTGTTGACATGTCAGCCCATTCTTAATCCATTTTATGTGCCTTGTATTGATAGGGTAGAATGCTAATTTTTAAATCAGAATCTGTTGTGCTGTCAAACATACAAAAGTCAGAATATATTTCATCTTTGCAATTACTTTTATCGGCCAAAACCTACAATCACATCAAAGAATGAAATCCAGTTTGACAACCCTTCCTCCCTTAAAAACATGTTGATTGGCATTAATTGTTTACCTCATCTTTAATGTGTTTATACCCATATCAATATGTCCATTATTTTGCCAAATTAATGTCAAACTAGCCAACCATGGGCTGGGCCATCCTTCCTGTCTTTTATCAGTACATGGGAATGTCACATTTCCCATCCCATCTGGGATTCTGCTGGTGTGCTCAAATATGCCTAAGGGTCCATGTCAGTGGATCAGAGCTCTCTGTTCTATTCTCAGCCCCAGCCACCTGGGGCTACCACATCTTCAACAAAATGGTAGCTAAGTAGACTCTTACAGAGTTAGACCAGAAACACTTTTATTCTTCTCCTGCCATGTGGATATGTATAAGAGGAGAATTTCAGACATTATCTCTCTTTTTGCAGCATAACTAGAAGTTTCCCCATCTCCAAAAAGCCTAAGCTCAACAATAAAATAAACACACCTAAAGAAATTTTTGTAGTTGAGTCCTGCCTCCTCATCCAGGTAGAGCTGTCCATTTAGTGTGGAAGCAGTGAATATTTGTTTATATGTGATATATTATGTAAAGATCAATAGGAAGCATGTGTGAAGGTAAAAATACCCTTTAATTCACCATCCTCTGAAGAGACAGAGCTGCTTTTATTGGTGCACATGTGAGTGAGTTCAAGCCCTGTGGCTTTGAAGGAGGCAGCAGAGAAGAGTCAGTGCCACCTGAGGATACCTGGGGCCTATTAGAGAAGAGAGATGATTTGGAAATCAGAAGAAACCTTAACCAAACAGGCCTGGTAGTGCAGCAGCAGTAAGAGAGGAAGGTGCTGTACTGTTCTATGCAGCAGCACAGGTGCTGGTTCAGGCCATGGTGATCCCACAGAGCTGTTGAGTTACCAATGCATCTGCTCAGAAACCTCAGCCCAGCAGACATGAGCTGCTGCTTTACCCTGTAGCCATCTCCACCAGTCAGGGTAACAAAATGCATCCTGCATTTTTCCCCCATGAAGCAGTGTGCTAAAGACCAGGCAGCGAGGGAGCTGTCTGGAGGTGTTGCTGACTTTCAGTGACTGTAAGAGACAACAGGAGCAAAAGGAAGTTTTCTCAGTAGAGACTTCAAGTAGTGCCCCCAGTGCCCAAGGATACCCTGCTGACTGCTTAACTGCAGCCCCTGCAAAGAAGGGCAGTGCTGGGTTGATGGCTGTACTTGATGATCTAAAAGGTCTTTCCCAACCCAAATCATTCTGTGATTCCAGGGGCTTGCAGACATGATGCAGGATGAATAGGGCATTTATGACCTCCAGCTCTCCTAGGCCATTTCAAGGGCTCTAAATACTAAAAGTGTAGGAGTCTGGTGCATCCAGGTACTCAGCTAAGGATCCCTAAGCTTAGAAGAATGAATCTGTGAGCTGAATCCCACTTTAAGGCCTATATTCACTTTGCTAAACCTGGGCCATGTTGGATACTCCCGGGCAACTCAAATGGCATTGATTCCTGCATTTATTAAAGAAAAATTGAGCTCTAGGGGTCTAATTTGTAGACAGTTGAAGGTGAAATACAGTGAATCCTATTGTTAACAAATGAGCCCCAGGTGATGTCCCATAGGCCCTAAGTGGGAATTGTACCATACCAATAAAAACACCAGCTGCACTAGAACTGCTTTTTAGGGGATAGATGTATGCAGAATATCCCTCTGACAGGAAAGCCAGACCCCCGAGGACTTGTACTTACGTGATCTATAGAGCACCTCTGGCATTAGTTTCATCCTATTCAGCTTTTGGCCTTGAGGATCCCTAGGAAATGATTGCTTACATTTCTTGTGGATGTGGCAAAGTATCAAATAATTAGTGACACTTGAGTCTCTGATCCTGGTGTAATCATGCCACACACTTTAGCATCCCACGTCCCTAAGCCATGTATCCTCTTGCTCAAAAGAATAATAAAATAAAAAGCAGAAAACTTCACAGACTCACTGGGCAATTTGTTGCTCTGCTTGACTGCCATCATGGTGAAGATGTCTTTCCTGATACCTCTAGTGTTGCAACTCATGCCCTTTCCTCTCACACCTGCCAGATGCCATTACAAAAATCCATGCTAAAACATCTTGAGAAGTCCCCCAAGGGCTCCAGGGCAGTGTGCCACTCTTAGGTGCCCCCAAGCTGTCTCTGCTCCAGGCTGAACAAGCCCAGCTCCCTCAGCCTCTGCTGGCAGGGGACAGCTTGGGCCATGCTGGCAGTTTGTCCATTACTTGGATGTACTGGAGGCACCAGAAAGTGGATGCAGTACCTAGACATGGTATAGCACATTCTTAGTAGGTAGATTTTCTGGGGGATGTCCTGGCTCTGCTGCTCTCCATGCAGCTGAAGCTGTTGGCTTGGTTTGCTGCCAGGGCTCACTGCTGGCTTGTGGTGACCTTCCATCAGGACACACACCCCCACTCCACATCCCTTTCAGCAGAGTTCCTCCCCAGCCTGTCCATTCACAGCCTTTACCACTGCAAGCCCCTTTCCCTCTTGGGTGTGGGTCTCTGCATTTGTCCTTCTTGAATTTCACTCATTTCCTGCTGGCCCTCTCCTCCAGCCTGCTCAGCTTGCTCTGAATGACAGCCCCATCCTTGGTCATCCCTCAAATATTTTGTCATTTGCAAATTTCACAGGGTGGGACATGTAGTGGTGTGAAAAATCAATGTTGCACTTGCCTTTGGTTGCATTTCTCCTTCTACATGTGGGTGAATCTAAGGCAAGTCAAGGCTGAGGAGACAGTCACCACATTATGATACTAGTCCCCTCTCCCTTTACTTTAAAATTAAAATAAAATAAAAACAAGGATATTCCAGGAGGAGCCAATAAAGGAAACAGGTAGTTCTCTAGCAGGCACATGTAACTACTCACACAGCCCATTCTGAGCACCCCTGGGCATCA